CGATATTTTTTAAAATTTTGGTTATGATTTTTGGGCGATGACCCCAATCTTCACATCTTTTACATTCAACTGCCTTTTTAATGCTGACTTTCTTCAGTTTCTCTTATTGTGCTCGTTCTCTTTTTAAAGTTTGTGAGTATAATTAAAACTACCCTACCTTTGAGAACCCTCTGTTCTCACCTAGCAGAATAAATGAAATATGGATACAAAGACTGAGCATATAAATTACCTCTAAAAAAGAAAATGCCTTCTACATAAAGCTTTTTGATTCTCTTTAATTTTTTTTTATTCCAGAGTTTGATGGCTATTTTTTCTCTCTAGTCCAGTGATCTTGTTATTAAAGCATTCTTGTAAAGGTAATTTAGCACACATGCCTCATAGTTATTAACCAAATTCTACTACATTCAAATCCCAAATCACTTTGCAAATGATTCTTCCTTCCTTCCACTAGCAAAATAGCTTGGGGTGTGGAAGGGCCAGAGAGTTTCTTAGTTGTCCTGAGTGACATTTAAAAATTTTACAAAGGTAGTGGAAATGGCTATGGGTCTTTTAAACAAATATTCATAAGTCTAATAGGGATGCCATTCTGAGTGTACATTCTCATAAATCAATGACATTAAAAACATGCACAAACAATTTATCTTAAAAAATGATATAATTAATACAATAGAGTCAACCCTTAACCTAGAAGAAAGGTTATGAGGGTGGGGCACAGAAGAAATGCACAAAAAGGCCTCAAACCCACAAACACACTTGCCTAAAATCTTTGCAGTGCACTGAACAAAATATATTCTTTTTAAATTGTTAATATTTTTGAAAATCATAAATACAGTTGACATTTGTGAAGTTTTTTAAGGCAGAGATGACTTTACATTTATTTAATCATACAAAAATAGAATAAAGGCATTTTAAACATCATCTAATCCTACTTCTTCATTATAGAGGGGAGGGTATTGAGGCCAGAGGAATCTTCAGGCATTTGTCCAAGGTCATCAACATGCAAATATCAGGTTATACTGAGGTCAAGGCAGAAGGATAATTCATGCCTTATAAGTTTTGTGTCACTGTTAGGGAAAAAATAGGTACAGTGCAGTTACTATGTACAAAGTGATATAATTTGGCCTGAAGCTTAGGCAATACCACAGCTGGGTGCTTTATAACAACTGTTTTCTGTTTTTATTTGGATTTTGGGTGAAAGATGATGATATTTATTCATTTTAAGATAGGTTCATTTTAGGACAGAGTTTTATAGAACTCAAAGTTAATTTCTTTCTTTTCCCCAGCCCCAAGATAATTCAAACTTTCAACTTCTGCCCTTTCTTTCCCCCTCAGAAAAAGAGTCATACAGGTGAACCCAACCAAATCAACCAAAACAACTAATTGCAGTTAACAGAATTATCAGTATATCTCAGATGAATTCTAATTTTAATTTTTTCTGGTTTTAATTATCAGGAAAATTGCTTAATATCACTGTTTCCTTTTGTTAGCTCATTTTAATTCTTTTAAAAGACATATTTCTTGGAGAAGAATATATATTGCTTTATACTATTCATTTCAGATTGGATCAGGTAGACTTGGGGAAAAGCAGAGGGCACAGGATTGTTTTAGACCATGGTTATAACTGATGCTGAGTTTACATGTGTATTGTTGCATCACACACAAAATTTAGAGAGTGATTTCTGAAAGGATTCTTTTTTTTAAAGATTTTATTTATTTATTTGACAGAGAGAGACACAGCGAGAGAGGGAACACAAGCAGGGGGAGTGGGAGAGGGAGAAGCAGGCTTCCCGCAGAGCAGGGAGCCAGATGCGGGGCTCGATCCCAGGACCCTGGGATCATGACCTGAGCCGAAGGCAGACACCCAACGACTGAGCCAACCAGGTGCCCTCTGAAAGGATTCTTAACAGAAACTTTTCAAAAAAAAAATTGGCACAAATACTATACTCCTTAAGGGTACACTTTTGTCCTGTCCTGGTAAGGCTGATTGTGGATGTAGTCTAAGAGTATATTTTAGAGTGGGATAACACTTTAAACAGAAGGATGTCTGAAAATTATGTCCTTATTGTTTTTACTTTTTTTTTTAAAGCAAATGATAGGAAAGAAAGAGGGTGAATGAGCCATCCTTGTCTCCCATTGTCTCCCACCCCCCAAAATTATGTCATTAAAATTGGAGAGGTTTAGCAGAAACAATGATAAGTCTTACCTGGCTTAGTGTCCTTTTCTAATAGAGTACTACAGGAAATGAAGACTCTAGCAAAGATATAAAAAATGACAATCCACTGCTGTTTCATATCTCAGGCCAAGTGTCTCATAGGATCCAGTAAGAGTTGAATGGGCAGAAGGTCTCAGGTCATTACCATAAAAAGCTCTTTGGCACCCTCTGTCACAGAACAAAGTGTCAGACCAATTCCCATTACTAGGTGCCTGTGGTGCTTTTCTTAAATAATCAGTCCCATTCAGACAGAGATTTTAAGATCCTTGATCGTCTCTCTATTTCGTAAGCAGTAATTTTTAAGGCTAAATGGCACTAGAGGCAGAACGTTTTTGAAGTAAGGTTTAGAAAAAAGAACTTGGTATATCCCAAAGCGGGCCTGACTCTTTCTCGTTTTCCCCAAAGGTCATATTCCAAGTTCAGCTCTGACTGCATTGTACCTGGGCATCTGGAGAGAGGCAGGCAACATTTACTCCAGCTCCACACTCCATCCTGGGAGGGCCTGGGAGCTCATGCAAAAATGGGGACCAATTTTAGGATTGATCCCCATTTTTGAATCCTAAAGGGTGGAGACAGACAAAGCTTCCCTTGCTCTACTTTGACCCTTCAGCCTCAGATATGGGTGCCCTAAAGTTTATTTTTCTTCTTCAAACTTTTTAAGAACATGAAAAACCAGGTAAATGAAGATAGCCAGGATAACATTGTGACTATACTATATATAAATGTGCATTTTTTCCAAAGTGCATTTTCAGAGTCCCACTTAGAAAATGTGCTTCACTGCCTTACTCTGCATATGCCCCAATGAATTCCAAGAGGTCACAGAAGCAGATTAGAGAGTTTGCTCTTTAAAGAGCTATTTTTAGTTGGAAGGGAAAGTGTAGGCCTCAAAGTGCCTGGCAGTATGTCCTCCAGTGGGGATTTAAATTGGAGGTCTGATTCCAGGGGAAGGTCTCAGTGGGGTTCTTTCTGCCTTTGTTCCAGAAAAGGGTGGTTATGCTGATTGTCGGTGTTGGGGGCTGGGGATTAAGCAGCTTCTCCAGGGGAGCTCAACCTATAGTTCTCCAGGACCTATTGTGTCTGGGCCCCCAGCCGGTCAGAAACGGTGGAGCCTGAGGTGTCCAATAGCCACACTGGAGGAAAGGACTCCCTAAGACTCATTAAAAATCACCATCATATTTGGATGCCATCAACTAGGGCTCCTGAGATAAATTTCATCCCAACTCTTACAGATTACTAATTTTCATTGTGTAGAGGGCAGTATTCCAGGTCAAGCTCTGGTGAAGGGCGAGTTTGGAGAGATAACCAGCGAAGTGAGGGGAAGAAAAATGCGTTCAGCGGTGCTCAGACTTTGTTGACTGAGTCTGGGCACCCTGAGGAGGCGCTGGTGGCACAGCCGGCAGTAGAAGGGCCTGGTCCCGGGATCTCGGATAACGGCGAAGCTGGCTTAGGGCTGTGTGCTGGAGAGAGTGAAGGGGGGGGGGGGGGGGGGGAGAAGGTTTGAGAGGAATGTGGGGGTGAGGTAGAGACAGAGAAATACAGAGATGGAGAGAGTCGGAAATCCTGAAAGACACACACAGAGAGGTAGAAAGATGCAGCCGAAGGATAGGCACAGAGCACAAGAAAGAAAGGAGATAGAATGAGAAAGATGGAGAGAGAGACAGCAAAGGAGAGATGGGGAAGGACAGCGAGAGTCAGAGCAAAGAGGCCAAGAGTGGGAGACGCTGGTTGGTAGGAGGTATCAGGAACGAGGGAGGTGGCAAAGGCTCAAAGCCTCTACCCGCGTCCCCCCTCCACCCAATTCTCGCTCGGCCCAGCCCGCGGCGAGGAGTCGAACGCGCAAGGTCGCCCGGTCCTCTCGGCTGTCGCGCGCTGAATGGCTGGCGGTCCGCAGCGCCCTCACATCGGGCCCGGTAGCCACAGGTCCGCGGCGCCTAGAGTCTGCGCCCGAGGCGGGCCGGGGGGCCCTGCTCCCTCCTGCGCCCATTCCTGCCCTACGCACCGCCCCACTACGCTCCCCACCACTCCTCTGGCGGTCGCAGTCCTCCTCACGCCCCCGGGGGACTGGGCGCTGCGGTCACCAGAGATACCTCAGGAGCCACTTCTCCCTACGGGCCTGGCCTACGGAGAGCCTGGGAGTGGGATCTATTTATTCGGGGTATTAGTCTCTGAGGAATCGTTCACGCACGTGCCAATGCAATTGCCCGTGTCGGGAAGGTAGGCGCTGTGAGCGGCAGACCTACGGAGAAAGCACCACCTCGTCGGCGCCCGGAGCCCCAGCGTGCTCCAGAGCGTCCCCCAGTGGCCGGGCAGGACCAAGCAGAGGGCCTGCTTCTCCGCTCCAGAGTGGCTCCCTGGCTTCCCAGTATCGCGGTAGACGTGCAGCTGCTCGGTGCGCCAGGAGCCTCCAGGTCTTGCCACCCACCCCTCCCTCAGAAACTCGGACCGTTTGCGCTTGCCGTGTTGCTTTTTTTCTTCTGGAAGGCCCGTGTTTTATCTCTCGAGTTCAAGTCCCGAGGACTTGCCCAGTCTCCTCCCCTTAAGTCATTTCTACCATCCTTCAGCAGCCTCGGAAAGCGAGGAGCCCCGGACTGCTCGTCCAGGAGCCAGCGCTGGCGGGTCCCAGTCCGTCCGGCGCATTCGCCCAACGCATTGGCCTCTCTCCCTCCCTCTCTTACTCCCTCCCTTTCTCTCTTCCTCTCTTCCTCTCTTTTCTCCTCTGCTTCCCCCTCCCTCTCTTGCCTCTTAAGTTTCCTGCACCGTGAATCCAACTGTGCCAAGCCTAGGCTCCCACGGAACCGATCTTGAGCGCGACCCGGGCACTGAGACGCCGACTCCGCCGACGCTGGACGAGGCAGCGGGACCGGTCCGCGCCTGAGCATGGAGATGAAGCGCCAGGGAGGGCATGTCCGGGGCGCCGGAGACGCCAGGCCCGAGTAGCTCCTCCATGGAGCCTGCCCAGAGCGGTCCCTGCTCGCCGGTTTCGCCCCTAGTCCTGTGCGGTACGTACACTTCGCCTCCACAGTCCCGGAGAGGATATCTTGGAGCGGGGTGGTGGGACACGGGGAAGGGGCGGCGGGAGGGCCACTGGTTGGGGGACAGAATGAGCCTGGCGGGTGACCTCACAGACCCGGGTAGGCTTCCACTCTAGAAGTTAGCGACTGACTCTGCCCTTTGGCTCGAAAAAAAGTAGTGCCAAAGATGTGCTTGTATGCGCGTGTTATCTCTGTGCAGGGGGCTCGAATGGGTAAACTGAGCCCGCTTTACTGTATGCAAATTGCATTCCCTTTCCCCACCCCCACTCCATGGAACGTGTGAAGATACCCAGCTCCTAATCCCGGTCAGCTCTACCTACCCCTTCCTCTTCCCGCGCCCCCCTCACTCAGTCTCTCCAGCCCGCTTTCCCTCTCTCTTTCTCTCTCCTCTCTCTGCTGGTGTGTACGTGTGTGAGCACTGCCAGGGCTGGCGAAGAACCAGCCGCCGCCTTTAAGTCCGAGCCGCCCGGCCATCAAACACTAGGGCAGGTCTCGCTGCCAGAGACGCTTGGGCTCGGAACCAGCCTGCACGCGGCTCTGTGTGCCCCTCCACCTCCTGTCTCCACTGGCCGGGAACTCGCACCCGAGGAGTGCAGGGCGCAAGGAGCCCCTCATCCTCCTACCCTCCTGCCCGCCTGCCTGCGGACAGCGCGCTCGCTGGTTTCAGGCGCTGGATTTACTCGCTTTTCAATTTTTCCTGCCCCCCGCCTCCGGGTTTTTGGTCCACCCCTCCCCTCCACGACCCCCTTTCCTCGCTTGGTCGCCAAGCCTAACCTTGCCCGCGTGGTCATGGGATGTCTAATTTCATTTGTATCTAGGCTGCTGAGAGCGCTCCTTGCTCTGTAAAGTGGATGTCAGGTGGATCTATGTTTTTGAAGGAACAAAGACTCAGCGAAAGCACCGCCGAGGAAGTTTGAGACGCGGGAGGATGCAGGCTGCGTGCTGGTACGTGCTTCTCCTCCTGCAGCCCACAGTCTACTTGGTAAGTCGCTGCCGATCCGGCGCCCCCGCAATCCCACCCTGGTCGCGAGGCCAGACAACCAGGGGCGCGCGGGAGGAGGGTGAGATCGCCAGTTCAGCGAGAGCAGCGTTCCTAGCGACCGTGTTGGAACAACTTTGGCAAGCTGGTCTTTGGTTCCCTGCGGGATTTTCCGGTTTTCCCACCCTCATTTCTTGCTCCAGTCCCCCTTTTCCTGAGCGTGATTCTGAACAGAGTCTAGGGCGCCCTAGTACCCAGAAACCGAGGAGCTAGTGGGACGGGATGCTTTATGGGGAGAGAGGGCAAAAGAAAGGGTTGACTATACACGGAACTCTCATTAGTTCATCCACAGAGTTTAAACGAAAGGAAATGGAGGTTGAGAGTGTGGAGCACGAATTTGCCTAGGTCTGTGACTTTGAAAGTGAATCCACCCACCTGGTCCCCCAGTTTGGAGATATGACACATAAAGAAGTGCAGGTAACTTTGTTCGACTTGTAGGGTTCACAGAGGACAAGTGTATCAGACACGAGCACCACAAGCGATTAGAGTTCGGTCTGGGTTGCCCCGGCAAACATGTAGCGGCTCTCCTCCCTCTCCTCCCAATCTCTTCTTTCCACCAGATAACCGAACCCCAGTTCCAGGGCCGAGCCCCTTACTAGGGAATGGCAGACCTTGTTGTCAGGAAAATACTAAGCAAAGCCACTGCCTGTCTTTCTGGAGTGGGGTTTCGGGGGTCTGGATTTTGCACACTGTTGGAACTGGGGGTGGAGATGAATTGGTAGCTGTGGGCACCGCGTGGAGGCAAGACGGAGAGAGCGATTTCTCCTGTCTGGCTTCAGGGAGGGCCAGGGACACTCGCACCCTGCTGGCGAAGTTGTGTTCAGTGCACCGACTCCCCATAGCTTATTTCTGAGCCACAAGAGCGCACGGAGGGCTCAGTGTGTTCTGACGGGGGCGAGGAGCGCTGGGGCAGCCTGAGCTCTCTGACGGGGCTGGAAAAAAGGGATGGGGGGGTGCCGTCCCTCAATCCCAAGGGCTTCAGAACCCACAAGCCAGGGAGCAAAGGTGTTGCCAACCCTTCAGTTGAGAGCGTTTCCCAGCTGTTGCCCTGGTGCATATGACTGCAGGGCTGCTAGTTGTGTGAACTCTGTGTATGTTAATGAGTGTGTATGTATACGCGTATGTGAATATGTATGTGAGGGTGTGTGCCTTTCACGGGTTTCGGCTTCAATCCAGGAACCCTCAGTGTTGCCTGTCTTTGCATCTTTATCGCCTGACTATCGCAGCCTCGGACGCCAGAGGGCGCTGCGCGTCAGTGTCCTCGCCTGCAGGACACCTTGGGGTAAACAGGTGAAAGCCAGGGCAGCCAATCCAAAAGAACAGCCATTCTGACTCTGTCACCGAAGTCTGTGCCTTCCCGGGCTGGAACGCAGACAGAATGTAAAAATTGTCCTTCCCATTTTCCATCTTCAATCATTCTTGCCCCCACCTGTGTCCAGTCTACCCACTGACATTGAGAACCGAAAGACCGAGGGCAGAAAGTTTGGCCAGAGGAAATACAGAAATTGTTTATTGAAAGAAGGGGCGGGGAGCAAAATGAAAGCTACAGAGGAGGGTTATTAACGATTCCCTTGACCATGGAAACCCTCCTGCCCCTTTCCTCTGCATACCTTTACGGATGACCTGAACCTCAAGACTGTTCTTATGTCCTTGGACTGTGCTCACACACGGCGAAAGGCTTGGGGCTGTGGTGCAGTTTAGTGCTTGGAGCAAGTATTTCGATAGTCTGGAAAATAATCTATCAAAAGCAGAAGTGAAATCAATACGTTGTGTTAAATTTTAAATGTGTTTGTTGGCAGTTAAACCGTTTTCCACTCATTACAACAACAGTGCTGGATTTATTCTAATGCGCTGCGTTCTCAACAACAAGCGCATTAATTCTCCTTTAATTGTAAACTGGGAGCATTTGAAAACCATTCAGTGTGCAAATTATGCTGATTCAATTACCGCTTAGTTACAGACTTCATTACCTGAATGCCTTTTGGCAATACGGAGAAAGGAGACAATTTTTCCAATTTCACTCAAAACAATACGAAACGTGAACAATAAAATAGAGATGGCGATTTAGAAGTCCATTCTTTTCTCTCCGATCTAAAGTTGTTTTGTGTGTCGGGGATTAGAAACCACACGGCACCACAAAAACAAAAGGCTGGTGGCTGTGACCCAAGGTAGTATTTCCAGGGATTGTAATCCCATGGTTATTTGCCCACAGAATTCCAAGATATTTTCCTGGAAGAACAGGGAGCTGGTTTTTACCATGGAAATAAACTTAAAAGGGTGAATTGGGCAGTCAGGACAGGTTGGTTCTAGGCAGGTAAGGAAGTGGAGAGCCTTGATTAAAACTCTAGGGCAATGAGACAGACCAAGAAATGGTCAAAGCTTCTTTCTCCATCTATTTTATTAAACACCACACACTGTGACTGAATTTATCATTTATTTGTAGCTGATCTTAGGACATCCCAGATCTTTGCAAGAAACTGCAATAGATGCATGCAGTTTGTCAGGAGCTGCAAGGAATACTCCAAGAAGGCAGGAGTGGCAAAACCATTATTTTATTTTATTTTTTTCTCCTTGAGTTGCCATAAACCAAGAAGGAGTTTAATGAGTAATTTTATGTCTTTATGAGCTCACGCCACAAGTTAAGTGACAGGGTACTCTATTTATGCATTGCCTCCCAGCTGATAGCCCAGTGCACCTTTCCCTTTAAGCCCCTGGAATCCCAGTTATGTTTTCCAAGCAGTGATTGCCACATTATATCCAGGGGAACAAGATTTGTGTAGATATCTCTTATACAAAAATATTCCTGCTTCTACTTATAGAGAAATACCTTAAATATTCCCAAATTGGGGATTTTTAATTTATTTTTTAAGTGAAAAACAATTCTCTATCCAGCAGTTCAGTGCTCCATTCTTAAGTCACACTCTTCTGCCTGTATTTGAGTGAATGTTCTCAAAATCTTTCTTGGCCCAGGTTTTTTTTTGGATGCCTGTTCTAGGTTGAGGATTTTGAGTGTTTTTGTGTTTATCGAGAGATGAGTCTGTTCTTATTTCAAACTGGAAGCTTACTTAGTACTGCAATGGGAAGTTAATTAGAAATGTGTCTACAAAGTAAGCTTCTGAAGCATATTAGCTAGCCGACTAAAAAATCACCACAGGGCTAACTCCATCCATAAATGCAGGGAAGAAGGAAACCATTTAAAAAAAAATAAAGTCAAGGAGATTTTCTGTCTCCTTGTTTTGTGTATTATAGATTTTGTGTATTATAGATTTAAAAGTCTCATTTCATCAGGAGACATACCTATCACATAACAATACTTGTTTAAAAATAAAAAAAAAAGGTCCTGCAATCTTTATTCTCCTGTCAATTCTGGACTGATACCAGGATGTTTTCAATATGATAGAATGGGGGTAACAGGACGATAGCATTTTAACTGAATTGAAGCACACACTGGATAAACTAGGAAAATGTGATTTCTGGTTCTGAAGAAAGGGAGTCCTAAACTGGGTTCTTTTTGGTGGATCAAACTGAAGGATAGGCCAGGGCACACAGGGAGAGCACCTCCCAGCAGAAAGCAGAGGTGTCCTGTTGGCGGCTCACCTGTGGCAATTTTCAGAGTTGAGAACTGAATCTAATGAGCACTCCCTGGGCATGTCAACAAAAAAGTTACTCAGAAATTGAGTCCAGAGAATCTGGCAAGGGGTTGAATGATGTTATTGTGATCAGTCACACATCCACAGTTGTATCTTCATGAGAAGAGGCTCCTTACCCTCCAATTTAGGTCCCTCCAGTTCTGCTAGGAATTAAAATTCTAATAATCTAGTTGCTTTTTAAACCAATATGGGCAAGAATTGAAAAAATTCTTTCTAAACTTTGTCCTTAAAAAAAGATTTTGAGTCAGTTATTCCCTCGAATTTAGAGCGTCTTTAAAATGTGAATACCACTCCAATTGTTCAGTAGAGATTAAAGAGTGATTAATATATCCATGGAATACTACCTCTGCATATTAGAAGCCAGAGCATTTGGGTGAATTTCACTCAGCATGAAGGTGGCTATTAAGAACTGAGGAAGGTGAGGGAAAAGCAGCAGGAGAGAGACTACCAATGTCTATCCTTTGGACTAGGTATGAAAATTAAGCCTCTGCCCACTGAAAATTTTACAATTTGAGCTTATTCCTGAAAAGAAAAGTGCATTAACTATCTAACAGTGTCTTATTCGGTGTTTTCTATTAAGGCCAGTTCTTGGTGGCAGTACTAAAAGTTCCCCAACACCACTGCATTTCCTGATTTTTCTATCCCAGACCAGCCTTCCTGAGACAGGATTAAACCTAGATTTTTGAAGGAGCCTATGCCCCAGCAGCACAACATGAAAACTTATCAGTCCAAAGACATGTTCTAGGGCTCTGTGTGTGTGTGTCTGGGGGGGGGTTGCTACTATTTTAGGCATTTTCCTGAAGTGTTCAATTTTCCATTGACCAAGAAAGCAGCTCCCCTGGTGTGTGGGAAGCACTTGGATGGGTTGCCCTCTGCCACACTTCAGGAGGATGATGGTAGTCTGGGGCCTTCTAGTGATAGCTTCTGGGAGAAACTGCCTTTAGTATTAGAAAGGGAGAACCAGAATCACTACAACTTTCTCAGCTGTATTTTCTCCGAAAGCCATTAAGTTTCTGGCTCCTCTTTGTGCGAAGTTGATTTCTATTTGGCTTTGAATTGTTGACGGCTATTTCCTCCTTAATGAAAGTGTTATCTGGGTGAAAAATATATCCGGTGGCAGGGAAATTGGTTGATTTTTTTGAGATAGGCGCCCAATGTCCTACTTTTCTATCTGAGGGAAAATTTTCTGCAGACTACAGAAATTGACAGCATTGTCCAGGTAATAACCATCATGGACAATATTTTCAAAAGGACATTTGAGTGATGAAAGCATTTGGATATTGCTTTTTCAAA